TGGCTCTATTGTGAAACCAAATAGAGTAGCAGGGGAAAAAATCTGTTCCTTAACATTTAAAAGTCAGAGGACCTGCTCAACTTCACTGCATCAAAGAATTTTGGAATTGCAGGGTTGTAGTTTGACTGGGAAATGAAATTGTTGCTCCCTTAAAATGTTTTTTTCTTGTACGTGGAGAAATTAACATACTGTATTTGACAGCTAATTATGTTAGGGCAAATATACTAATAGTTGTCTTGAATTGGTGCTAAGTGGCTCATTTCTTGGAGGTAGTGCCTGGTTAAATTGTGTGTACTTGCTGAAAAACTCACTCTAGAAAAGTTCTCCATAAGTTTCCAAACATAGAAAATGATGGAAAAAATGAATGTTTCTCTCCCCGAGAAGGTGATAACAGGAGGCAGGTAGCATGTTTTCACATCTTCACCTCTGTTGTTAATGTATGCAGTGGCTCATCAGAGGTAGCTCATGTTAATTTATTCCTGTACACCTGTACAGGGCTTAAAATCAGGTAATAAGACTAGCAAAAACTATACATCTCTGCTTTTTAGCTACAGCTACCCAGAGGCCTATAGAGGAACAAATTTAGTTCTGGAGACATCAGCAGGTTTTAATAAACCAAATACAGATGTCTTACTCCATACAAATCAAGAAGTTTACATGTTTAAATCTGGACTGATTTAACTAGCAATCGAGGAAGGTTCACACTTGGCACCAATGGCTGCCTCATATTTATTTATAAATCACCCTAAGCAAATATTTTGTTTTTAAATTTATTCATGTGGCTGGATCACCTTCCCTACACCTTGAAGATCAGATTATGCTTACCTTTCTGATAAAATTCAAGACAAACCTTAGCAATTAGTGGCCACTGCTCTTAGAAGTAAACAATAAAGGTGGTGAAACTCAACAAAGAGAAATATTTCTTTCTATACACATATCTAGTTTCTGAGAAAGAAGTCTTCATTTTAGTTGCTGGTGTTTTAAAACTGCCAATCACTAAAACAGATAAAAGTACTTGATGACATATTATCAAATACGAAGCAATGTTAGGGAAGAAGATAGAAGCCTATTTATTTTTTTTCCTAAATAAAATTTAAATTTAACTTATACATGGGCTTTCCTTATATATAGGTAATCCATGGCCAGTCAGCCCTCCTCAGGATCAAACATTTAAGTCAGAGGATGAAAAATGACCAAAGTTCACTAAGTCTTACTAATTCTGACTATGATGCTGTCTTCAAGAAAATTCTCTTTCTGAAGACTGAAGGTCCAGGCCAGTTAGTTAGAATTTCTTCTTCCCGGGGACTATTTCATATGTATACTTCAAAACTAAGTACCAGTCTCTTACTCCCTGACAGAACCACATCTCAGCAACAGAAAAATCAAGGGATAAAGGAAGAAGCAATTTCAAAAGCTAATACTTCATAGTGTTATCAATATACACCCGAACACTTCAGCACTCACCTTGGAGGACCAGAGTTCTTTACAGAGAAAATTATTCGCGTTTCACTTTCATTGCTTAGAATAAAAATTATTCCAACAGCCACCCAGTGACTGGGATGAATTAGATTTTGTGTCCCTTTGCTTGCTCTTTGTCATGAGTGTGAAATAGTCCTCTTGTGAATTTATTAAACACACACTTATTTACAACTACATAGAAAAGGATGCCTTTGGCGCTGTTGCTTAGAATCCTCAACCCTAACAAACCTTGTGCCTCTTTCTCTTCCCTGTCACATTAAACAAAGAACATTCTTGCTTTTCAAAAAGTCTTTAACTTGATCTTATAAAATCCAGAAGGACCATAAGCAAAGACCTGGGAATATTTTCCACCCGACTGGCAACCTAAAACACTGTACTTCACATCTACGTCCATCTTACTAACATGCCTATCTGAAGAACAAAAACACCAACTTCCTCATGTCTGCACTTCTTGGATGAAGCCCAGGAAGACCTGTGGGTAACTTCTGTAAGGTTTCTAATCCTGAAGACAAGAAGGCCACACTGTGAACAGGAGGAAGAGGACGAATGTGCAGGCCATACCAGGGGCACCCTGGCAGCTTGCATACTCCAGCTGGCTCAAGCTCCCTCAGTGCTTCATCTGCACACAAGGTAGACACTGTGGAGCTAAGGATGAATGAAACTCAAAACTCTGGGGAAAGGAAGAAATGGCTACAGGGAAGCAAAATTAAAGACAAAGGAGGGTTTCTTTGGCAAGGTCTGTTGGCTCAATAGAAAGGTAAGAAAACTTAGCTTCACAGTGAGTGGAAGTGTAAAAAAATAGGGCCATAGACTTCCTGTCATTCTAGTGACTCACAGAGTAAAAGCGAAGAGAAGAGAAGGTGAGCCTAACGGACAGATCAGAGATGTGATCCAAGAGGCTTTGGGCACAGGAGATTATATCACAGGCTGCCATTAGACGATGGAGTGACAAAAGAAGGCTGAAAGAAGTAGAATTCTGTTCCACAGCCCACTCTGCTGAGATGCCTAAAGAGGACGCTACCCAATGGCATCACTGTTTCTGGTCATTTGATGGTAGCTAGCCTCAGTGCTATATTAACCCAAGTCACAGATACAACAAGGATGAATACTTTTCTTCTTGAAGTATCAGAGTCCCCTCCCCCCAAGTTTTTAACCTGAGATCAAAAGATTTGGATATTTTTAGAAAGCAAAAAAAAAAAAAAAATTCAATCTGCAATATTTTTTCTATTTGCTCTTCTTCAGTTATCAGGTGTGACAAATTCTAAAACTTAAAAATATTATGGACAAAATTCAACCTATCAACTGTCTCCCAAAGTCTGCCATCTCCTGTGAGACTGAACACACATGAGAACACATCTGTACCATTCTTCCCACCTGGAACATCCTGGTTATCTGTCACTGGTTTAAGCTTCTATATGTCTAGCCACTGGCTAAGCTCCCACATCCTTAAAATAAAAATGGAGATTGAAATAGTCTTTGGCCATCAATTAATGTTTTTTCTCTGACAAACCAATAGCATGCAATAGTATCTCCTTATGCATTAAGGACATAAACATCCTAGCACTTGTGCTTTTTAGTGGCTGGACATAAATGAAAGTACCAAGCTTTAGGTATGTAGCCTTTTTGGTCCTACAGCTGTTTATTCTGGTGTTATGACCTGTAATATTTTCAGCAAACCAGCTAAAACTCTGATAGGAATTCATGCAAATAAGCATGAATTTTGGCTTGTCTTCAAACACTCCATTTCCATAAATATTTGATGTAGGTTTTCATGAGTCTTTTATTTTTGTTAAAAAATTTCAATGCATTAACCTCATTATCACTCATGCACTATTTCAAATTTGAAAGAATGAATATTACTCACAAACTTAGGGGAGGTTGGATAGAGTATTATCTTTTATTATTCAAAGTATATCTATCTTACCTGACATATTCTGGAACCATAAATGATAACTTAGAAATTAAAATAACTTTGTGACTACAACCCATTTTTACAGAACAATATAAATGGAGGCGAGAAATCTTTTATTAGACAATAGATTTCTCTTTAAAAGCATGTTTTGCATTGTATAAGAAAACCACTTAGAGATTTTACTTTTCATAGATTGGGCTCCTTTTATTTCGGTAGAAAGGAAATTTTAGATATATACACACATATAGGTACACATATGTATGTATATATATGTACATATATGGCTTTTTTTAAAGGGTTCATCTTTCAAGTAAGATAAAACAGAATATTTCAGAGACATGTCACTACTTTTCCATAGTACTTTCATTACAGGTTGCTTTGTCAAGAATTCTACCCAATTGATAAGCACTAGAAAATGGGTTGTGGCTACTTGGAAACTTCTTCATTAATTTTGTTTCTTCCACATACATTGATTTTTGCCATATACTAAAATTTTCTCTAAAAATATTTTAAAGAGACAACATAGAATCCTAAACCATGATCCAATATAATGGGAATAACTAACTGATGTGTTACCTGAGCTGGACTGGTACAGTATGTAAATGATCTGCTCACAGGCTCATCTCCATAGCGAAGGATGACCTTGTTATCCTACCACTGACCACCTTGGCACATTCCGTTTATATTATATTTTCTTTAAGTTTAATAAAAAACATGGGAGGTTTAGGACAAGCCGCTTCTCTTTAAGCCCAACTGTTTCAGAGCTGCTGCTACATAGCTAGGGTGTGATGTCATCTGAAGGCTGGACATAATATGTTCAACCGATCCTACAGTACATGCAAGCCTCCCCTTCTCTGCCTAATTCCCATGGCTGACTACATTTTAGAGATATGCTCAAAGACATCATGAAATTAAAATAAACAAACCCACACCGCCACATCTTGCCCCCACATCAACAATGACTTTGGCTTCACATTTTCTTCTGATATTTTCATGACTCTTAAAGAATTTAAGGACATACTAAATACTCATGTAAGGAATGATAACATTTCTGGTTATACCTACGGAGATGCAGGCTGTCTCGATGTCCTGGACCTATGGTTCTTTCCATCCGTAAATTTCTGTTTCTATATTGGATAAATATGTGTGTATGAAGATAATTTATTGATTTAATTAAAAAGCCACAAGGCAAAGCAGAAATATATATATATATATATATATATATATATATATATATATATATATATATATGACAGAAGCTGCGGCTTCTAAGTAAAGGTAAATGGGGAGGCAGGGAACTGTGTACAGTTAACTGATTCACACCTAGATGCATGGAAATACATATGCACACACACATGTACACAGCACACAGAGAAAAATGGCGTGCATTACTGGGTAAAATGGCATATGATTCTGCATGCTTAATCATAACAAGCAACAACTGCAACAATCCTTCATGAGCATGGCAGCTTAGTTATCACATGGTCACTGTGGACAATATTTACAGTGCATCAAAACAGCGAGGTTGGACCTTTTAATGTCAAGTCCAACATGACTGACACTGGCACCCTCCACCCTCAGCAGGAGCAGCCAATGGAGATTTACTGACCTGTCTCTGCTTCGGCGCGAGGGGAAGGCAGCATTGCAGCCAGCCACTGTGCAGACGTGCATCTCTTTTAAGTGAACGTTTCTGTAGTGAAGCTTCACGCTGTAGGAGCTTTTGAAACTCTTCTTGCACACATAACAGATTTTGGGGTCTGGGCTAGAACACAGGTCACCTTCTGGGGAGAACTTTTGAGGACTGGCATAATTCAGGGACGATGCAAAACTTTCGTGTAGGGCAGCCATGCTAGCCCCGCCACCGTTGTACAGTCCATACTGGCTCATGTAAAACATGTCATAAGTGGGATCTGTGAATTCTTCCTTCACCTTGATGACATCCTGGTGAGAGGGTTCACTGTGGTTCTCATCAGGTCTCTCACTGCTCATCAGGACTTTTTCACTCACCTCACTGTGAATGTGCTCTTCCCCTTCCATGGATTCCTCACCCAGTTTGGGCTCTGAAGACTCAGACTCGTTCTCATAGTCCCGCTCAGGCTCCTGGTCCTCAGAAGTCATGCTGTCAGCCCTTCTTATTTCAGTCCTTGAAATGCACCTGGTCCTGTTATGCTTAGAAAAGTCCTTCACAGACATGCCTGGGCTCATCTCCTCTTGGGAGTGGCAATGATTGTCATGGCTCATGTCATTGACCACAGCTCCTCCATCGTTGGGGTCATCATCTTCGTCATCAAACTCATCAGCGGTATCGATTATTTCCTTCTCAATCTTTACAGGCATGCTTGACTTCCTGGGCTTTTTCTTGGGTGCCAGGTCGGCACTAGGCTCAATGGTGGCCATCATCACTGCTGGCACTACTGGCTCAGAAGGTGGTGGGGGGTGCTGCTCTATGGTACCACTGGTTGGAATGATGGGACTGGTTGGGAGGGAGGTTGGAGGACTCACCATTTCCCCTGGAGTGAGTAAACTTCTATAAAATGGAGGAACAGGCTGTACAGTCTTTAGCCCAGAAAATACCAGCTGGCTAGGGAGAGGATTCTGTAAGACGGGGTCTAGTGGGGGAGTGGTAAAACCCATTGGGGGCCGCCCAGGACTCGTGAGTGTGAGATTTGATTTCGTACTCGCTATGACGGGGGTGGCAGCTCCTGATGTGGCCCGAATTAAATCTTTGTCTCGGTTATTTCGTAACATAGGCATGTGAAGGCGAGGGTTGGGGTTTGCACTGTGCCGATTTCGGCTTCGGAGGGAGCTAAAGACCATGTTGCAGCCTTCGATGGTGCATCGATGTTTGATCTTCAGATGGACAGCATTATAATGAATTTTGAGAGTACCTTTGTCATAGAAAGTCTTCCCACATGCATTACAGAACACTCTTCCCTTCCTGGAGGCCGACCCCATCCTTCTCATCCGGTGAATCCGGAATGAGCTTTTTGGGTGTTCAGTTTTGGTGAGATCACTGACTGGGGCAGAATTCTGAATGGGGGAGACACAGGCTGGCTCGGTTTTGGGCTCCACATTGGTGATGCTGGTCAGGGCATTTCTATTTGGTGTCTGATCATTCTTATAAGGTGTGGGAGACACTTCAGACTCGCTGCTCTCATTATATTCATTCTGGGTTGAAAGGCTTGGTTCCCGCAGCCTCAGTCCTGGTTGCTCTAGAAGTAGCCCGTTTGGAGGCAACCCTAGCAGAGGGGCTGAGACAGGGTTTATGTACTGGAATGGAAGCAGAAATGCAAGGCTGTTGGGGATGTTTTCGAAGTGATGAATGCTGGAAGGATTGCTGTTCTCTAAGTGAGCAAGGAGGCTGGGACTCCTGGTGCGATTATTGCTCTCAATGAAAGTCCTTATATCTGAGTCTGTCTTTGAAGATGGTACAGCCACGGCCTGCCCTTCTTTCTCCTGAATTGCCATCAGCTCCACAATGGATTTGGTTTCTCCAAACCGCAGAAACTGCTGAAGGGTGATGATTTCCTCTTCTCGAGACATGATGGCCCAGCGGTCCAGCACCTTGCCGGCAGCATCCTACGGGGCCACATCAAAGAAACAACAAAGACAAACACAGAAACTTATTGATTGTGCATAATTATCCACTGCAACTGAAGGTGCTCTCTCTGCTCGTGAAACACTGCGAGCGAGAGCAGAAAACAACATGCAAGCGCTGTTAATAAAAATCAACCCACAAAGCAAACTTTTCTGCCATGCAAATGTAGTAATTAGAGTCACAGTTAGAGAAACAGATTGAGTTTAATAATGTCAAAGCAAACAAAATGTAGACCACTGGGGCTCTGTGATCTAAAATGCCTTCAGTACTGCTATTTTAACAACAATGATCTATGTACTATGCAACTATTTAGCATATATTAGTATAAGACGTGAACTCTTGCTGTGCAACCCAGTATAAATGCAAAAAAAAAAAAAAGGTACCTTAATCCTTATTAAATAGTGACACCATAGGAAGGAATTAAGTACAGTTTGCGAAATTTACTTCTTCGACACAAGCAGACATGAAACTGGATTCAATGATGGAAATTCCTTTAAATGGGAGTTATGTGAATTTCTGAATCAAAAAGATGAATAAAGTAGCATTACCCCTCATACTCCCTTCCCTAAGCTGTATCTTTTCTTTTTAAAATGGCTGTATTTTAGCATCATTTAAGAGTAGGCAATTTCATGAGGTAGAATCAGGGAAATATTATTTGTGAAAGGTAATTGTACTTTTCCTAAAAATTGGTTGTAATCCTATGATTCAAAGTTTGAGTTAGACTTAAAGTATTTGACTTCTTATGATTTTGTTATAAATGACAGTCATAGATATTTGAAAAGTAAACATGTGATGGATTTAGATAGAATAAATGTGTAAAAAGTTGTCTCTTAGCATCCTCCTCTGATAGCAAAGGAAGTCCACAGAGACTACACATCAGCAATCATCAGACTATGTGTTGTTAAATATACATTAAAAAGCATTTCACACTTTCATTTTTGCTAGTAACTATGAGATTTGCCTGAAGGTAGGACTTAAAAATCCTGCAATGTGATGTCAGGCAATCCATTTCAGCATGGATTGAGAGAAATCTATTTAAACACTTACATAATGACTCCATCATTTTAGAAGGCATCATTTCTTAGAGCTACCAGGACAGGGCGCTTTGCAACCCTCTGTGAATGACACTTGCTCCAACCCTGACCATCAGCTTAAGAAAGCATAAAATCTTGTTGAAAAACAAAAGAGAGCTCAGGTGCAGCTCAGTGGCACAGCATGTGCATGCCATGTGCATAGCCCTGGGTTCTATCCCTAGCACCAGAACAAACAAACAAACAAATGATAAGACAGTTATTAATTACAAAGGGGAAACTCATAATGTTACATTAGGCAAATCTAACAGACACCACCTTAAAAGAGACATCAAAGTTAACACCACTGGTGGACGTTAACATTGACATCCCGAAGGGATACATTGAGAGGGGCACGGTCTCACTTTTGTGGCATTCTTGTCAAAAACTTACCTCCCCCAAACATGGGAAAACATCAGGCAAACCAAAACCGAGGGGCATTCTACAAAACAGTGGTAATACTCTTCAAAGTGTAAATGTCAGGTAAGATTAAAAAGAATAAAGAATGGTTAGAGATAAGACAAGACTACAAAGACATAATCATGCAATTCTAGATTAGAAAAGGACATTACTGGGAAACTGACAAAATTTGAAGAAAGTCTCTAGATAGGTTAATATTTCCATATAAATCTTAATTTTCTGATTTCAACAATGGTATAAATGATTACAGGAAGACGTTTCTCTAGGGTAGCAGGATGAGGGATATAAGGAACTAAGGAAACTGTACTACTTTTGCAATGGAAAGTCTTTCCTCAGCCTTTGAATACAAAATTCCATCTAGATCACAATCATGCCTTGAGTGGTCACAGCTAGTTTGATTAAGTAGGTATCTGTCATTTGTTTGAATTTGGGGGGATGGGAGGTATCAGGGATTGAACTCAGGGGTTCTCGACTACTGAGCCACATCCCCAGACCTATTTTGTATTTTATTTAGAGTCAGGGTCTGACTGAATTGCTTTAGTGCCTCACCGTTGCTGAGGCTGGCTTTGAACTTGTGATCCTCCTGCCTCAGCCTTCTGAACTGCTAGGATTACACGCATGCGTTACCATGCTCACCTTGAATTATTTTTTAAAGAAGCTCTGATAGTTATGTTCTATTCTCCATAAAATTCCCTCCTAGCATTCTGTCATTTTACATCAACAGTATGTGTGATGCACACATAAGGGCGTCCATCCCATGAAAACTGCCAAATACATTTATCTCTTCCTCACTGAATAGATAAAATTGGACTTCATTTCAAATATTCCCATATAAGTCTATGCTCAGAACAGTCATATAATGATGTGGGTACAGAGTGACTCCAAATGATCCTCCAGGATTGTTGAAAATGCAACAGCTATTTTTAACAAGATAGATACCGATTTCTCACACATCATTTTTTGTTTGTTTGTTTTTGGAATGGCGGAGGGACAGGGGGTTGGTATTGTAGGTACATAAAAAAATTAAAATTGTGATTATATATAGTTTAATTTCATTTGCACCTCATCATAGCTTCCAGAGCTCTGTGAATATTTAACAGATGAGAAATTAGAGGTAAAGAAATATAAGAGTGCTCGTTAAGTTTTGCCAAGGCACTGACCTCCAGGCTACAACTTGAACCCAGAAATTCTGACTCTAAGTTCACTGTCTCAACAGTGTGCAGGACTATTATTTTGTGATGCCATTTCCCAGGTCAGCATGTTGTGTTTGTGACAGTGACAAGCAGAACTTTTTCTGAACAGTCAGTCCCCAGAACACTGTAATGTCCACTTGTATGCCATTTTTAAAATCTCTTCTTACCATCAATCTATTCTTGATCACTTTTTCTCGAGCCTTTCACTATGGATTGCTTCCTAACTGTATAAGGTCTTTTCTTCCCAGGTAGCCTACACCTAAATCTGCATGTCAATAATGGCGGCCTCTGGTATTAAAATGAACCTCAGAAATGATAGCAACTGGTCCCACCCACCTGAGGCATCTCTTTTCCCTCCTCCCAGTTTTCTTCTCCCAGCAGTGCACAGCCAGCCCCTCTGGTTTCTCCTTTCTCTGGCCCACCAAAACTCCAGCTGCTATTTCTAAAACCACTGCCCTTAGTCCAGATTAGCTATCTCTGCTAAAATAGAGACTGTGGTGTTAAGTCACTTACTTTGAGTAGAAAAGATTCCGGTAAGCAAGTTTCAGAACTTTGCTAGTATCTAGCCTCATCAAAGAGAGGCTTCACTTACAGTGGAGACAGAGGGGACAATTTATACTTATAGAGAAGTATAACATAGCACTTTTGCAAACAAAACTACTCACGAACTGCACAAATATCTACACATGCATTCAAATTTCCATCCCTGTGATGGGGTACCCCTCTGGCTCCAGGTAATAAGAGCCACAGAAATTCTTTCCAAAGAAGTTATCACTCATATTTTATCAAGATTATCTAATACCATCAACATTTATAACTGGAAAAATTGCAGAAAGAAACAAAGTTGATCTTCATAGGCAACACAAGGAGCCAGAAAACTCCTTTGCTGAGAACAGCTATCAGTTTTGGTATATCCACAGATGAACTGGTTGAAGGGAGTTAGAAACCAGCAAAGGGAACAAGGGAAGCCCAGGGTTTTTTTCTTTCTTTCTTTTTTTTTTTTTTCTGAAGATCTTTGTAATAGAAATAAGCAAGATTTGGTGCAGTGATTCTTACACACCACCACAACAACAAACACAAACTTGTCTACAAGTAATTCCAAGTAACCATTTGAAAACCTTTAGGACGAATGGAAACTATTGCAATAACTGAAGACATATATATTTTTTCTTTTTTTAGAAATTTGTTTTTATTTTATTTAAGTATTGACTCAAGACTGACAAAAGGGAAAAACTAGTTTTCCTTATGGATAGTTTAGATGATCAAATATAAGTTACCAAAGTGGATAGGAATTATAAAAAGAATCAAACGTTATCATGAAATGAATAAAACAAAAACCTCTTAACCTGATATAAAGATCTAGACTACTGACCCACCCACACCAGGACACTGATCTTGTACATGAATGAGTTAACATTAGGATATGTATCTGAACTTTTCTCCTTCCTAGGCAAATTTGTAGTTGGTGAGTCAATTCCTTTATGCTTTCCCACTTGAAATCAGAGTTCACTGATCTTCAGTCTGTTAGGTTGGGAAATATTTTACAAAATGAGGATAATAAGACTTATCCTATTAAAGTTAAATGGAAGGTATTATTATAAGTATTGATTTCCTGTGAAAATAATAGTACACCACTAATTAAAAATTTAGTAACATGAAATAATATAGACTTATAAACCAGTTTTATTTGGCTTAGGAAAAGTATAAAACACTTAAAATAATTTACATCTGAGCATATTATATGAAAACCCTTCCTTTTATTATTTCATGGGAACTGGTAGATTACTTGTAGAAATTTGGCATTCAGTTCTTACATGGCTCTTCAGAAGACCCTCCCCCACACTCAACCGCCCTTACCCAGTGCTGGGGATGGAACCCAGGGCCTCGAGCATGCTAGGCAAGAATTATACCACTGAGCTATACCCCGAGCCCAGAAGAGCGATTTTTAAATATCTTTTTGTTGTGGATTAGCTGACATGGTTTAAATGGTGTTATTAGAGTCCCTTTTCATATCAAAGCACCTAAAGTTTTTAAATCAAAGTATAATAAGGTTGGTTGGTTACTCTTATCTGGGGCAGAGGGATAATAGAGAAGGATAGGATGTAATAAGGTGGAAGAAAACCAAATAAGAGTCTTCGGTATAATTAGGTTGTCAGGTGACCTCAAGCTCAGTCTAAGAATAAGCCCACCTGTGGTCATGTCACAGCAAGGAGGAAAGCAAATTGCCTGCTTTGTGTCCATGGAAGGAAATAAGGGAGGAACACCAAACACTACAGATCTAGGAGCTATTCATTCCAG